CCCCCTGAACCCCCCTCAGAACTCCTCAAATCCGCCCCCAAACCCCCTCTAAAGCCCCCAAAATGGCCCCCAAGTTCTCCTCACATCCCCACCAAAGTCCCTCAGAACACCCTCAATCCCCTTTAGAGCCCCCCGAAACCCCCCGAAATCCTCCCCAAGTCCCTCAGAGACCCCCCCAATCCCCCCAAATCCTCCCCAAATCCCTCAGAGACCCTCAACCCCCCTCCCAGATCCCCCTTAGAGCCCCCCAAAATCCCCCCCAAGTCTCCTTCACATCCCCCTGACCCCACTTAGAGCCCCCCAAATCCACCCCAGACCCCCCCAAATCCCCCCCAAAGTCCCTTAGAGCTCCCCAGACCCCCTCAAATCCCCCCCCCAAACCCACCCAGAGACCACCGAATCCCCCCCCAAATTCCCCCAAAGTCCCTCAAAGTTCCCCAAATCCTCCCAAAATCCCCCCAAACCCCTTGGAACCCCCTCAAATTCCCCCCACAAAGTCCCTCAGACCCCCCCAAATCCTTCCCCGACCGCTGAAATCCCCCCCAAACCCCCCAAAATCCCCTCAGACCCCCCCAAAATCCCCTCAGACCCCCCCAAATCTCCCCAAAATCCCCTCAGACCGCCCCAAACCCCCCCAAAATCCCCTCAGACCCCTCCAAATCTCCCCAAAATCCCCTCAGACCCCCCCAAAATCCCCTCAGACCCCCCCAAATCTCCCCAAAATCCCCTCAGACCGCCCAAACCCCCCCAAAATCCCCTCAGACCCCTCCAAATCTCCCCAAAATCCCCTCAGACCCCCCCAAAATCCCCTCAGACCCCCCAAATCTCCCAAAATCCCCTCAGACCGCCCCAAACCCCCCCAAAATCCCCTCAGACCCCTCCAAATCTCCCCAAAATCCCCTCAGACCCCCCCAAAATCCCCTCAGACCCCCTCCAAATCTCCCCAAAATCCCCTCGGACCCCCCCCAAATCCCCCCCCTCAATCCCCCCCACCCACTCTCGGTCCCGCCGCTCCCGCAGCTCCGCTCGTTCCGTTACGGGGTGGGCGGGGCCTCGCCAATCCCGGCCACGCCCCCAAGTGACCACACCCACGCCGTGACCACGCCCACAAATTACCACACCCATCCCTGGCCACGCCCACACCGCCCACGCAGACTCGCGGCCCCCCCCCACCCCCAAATCCCGGCTTCTGATTGGTTGTTGATTTTGGGCTGGCGTCTGATTGGCTGAAAAGTTTGGAGGCCTCTGATTGGCTGGGGGTTTTTTGGGTTCCCCTCCTCTCGCTGCGCGCTGCGCTCTGATTGGTCGAGAAGGAGAGGGGCGGGGTTTAGCTGTAAATTAGCAACCTCTGATTGGCTGTCGGCGCTGCGGCCGCGCCCTGATTGTGATTGGCCGCAAGCCCGAGCCCCCACCCAGCCTCTGATTGGTTGATTCGCGCTGAGGTAGCGATTATCCCGAATCACGTGATCGCTGCGGCCACGCCCTCTTTTTCCAGCGTCACGCGGTCTCCATGGCAACGGCGGAGGGGAGTCACGTGACCGCGGTGAGAGCGGGGAGGGGAAATTTGGGGGGTCCTGGCGGGGGGGGGAATGGGGGGGGCTGGGGTGGGATTTGGGGGGGATTGGGGGGGAGCCTGGGGGAGGAATTTGGGGGGTACGAGGGGAGCTGGGGGGGGATTTGGGGGGTCTGGGCGGGAATTTGGGGGTCTGGGATGGGATTTGGGGGACTGGGACGGAATTTGGGAGGACTCGGGGGGCTGGAACGGGATTTGGGGGGACTTGGGGGCTGAAATTGTATTTGGGGGGGCTGGAATGGGATTTGGGGGGCGCTTGGATGGGATTTGGGGGCTGGGAGGGAATTGAGGGGGACTTGAGAGGGCTTGGATGGAATTTGGGGCGATTTGGGGGGGTCTGGGGTGGAATTTGCGGGGACTGTGATGGAGTTTTGAGGTACTGGGGGGACTGGAACTGAATTTGGGGGGGGCTGGGATGGGATTCAGAGGGGTTGGGGGGGCTGGGCTGGGATTTGGGGGGCAGAAATGGAATTTGGGGGGTCCGGGATGGGATTTTGGGGAGGCTTGGGGGGGGTCTGGGCTGGAATTTGGGGGCGTCTTGGGAGCTGGGGGGATCCTAGGGGGGAGGGGGGGGATTTGGGGGGGGGTCTGGGGGGATTTAGGGGTAATTTGGGGGCGGGGGTTGATGACGTCATTTACGGGGAGGGGTCGAGGGGGTTGTCACCTCGTTGCCACCAACAAAGCGGCGCCAGCCCCGGCAGACGGAGGGACGGATACGGGGACAGACGGACACGGGGACAGACAGGGGGACACAGGGACAGAAGGGAGAGAGGGACACAGGGACAGACGGACACGGGGACACAGGGACAGACGGATAGACGGACACGGGGACACAGGGACAGACGGACACGGGGACACAGGGACAGACAGGGGGACAGACGGACACACGGACAGACGGACAGAGGGACACAGGGACACGGGGACAGACGGGGGACAGACGGACAGACGGACGGACGGACACGGGGACAGACGGACGGACGGACGGACGGACGGACGCTGGCGCTGTCGCTGGGGCTGGGGGGGGGTCCCGGGGCCCTCGATGGGGGTCTCAGCGCCCCCCCCGCCCCCCCACAGATGGACAGGGCGCAGCTGCTGCGGGGGGAGCTGCAGAGGGTGAGGAGGGGGCGCGGGGGACCCCCGGGGGTGGGGAGGGGGCGGGGAGGGACCCCCGGGAGTGGGGAGAGACCCCCGGGAATGGGGAGGGACCCCCGGGATTGCGGAGAGACCCCCGGGAATGGGGAGGGACCCCCGGGAATGGGGAGAGACCCCCGGGAATGGGGAGGGGGCGGGGAGGGACCCCCGGGAGTGGGGAGAGACCCCCGGGATTGGGGAGGGACCCCCGGGAATGGGGAGAGACCCCCGGGAATGGGGAGGGACCCCCGGGAATGGGGAGAGACCCCCGGGAATGGGGAGGGGACGGGGAGGGACCCCCGGGATTGGGGAGAGACCCCCGGGACTGGGGAAGGGGCTCGGAACGAAGGGTGGGGGTCCCTGCCCCATTTTGGGGAGTCCCTTGGGGTCTCACAGGCAGGATCAGTTTTGGGGGTGTCCCTGGGGGTCCTGCCCCATTTTGGGGGGTCCCTGACTGATTTTGGGGGGGGTCCCAAGGCAGGGGCCGTTTTGGGGGTGTCCCTGGGGGTCTCTCACCCATTTTGGGGGTCTCACAGGCAGGGGCCGTTTTGGGGGTGTCCCTGGGGGTCTCTCACCCATTTTGGGGTCTCACAGGCAGGGGCCGTTTTGGGGGTGTCCCTGGGGGTCCTGCCCCGCCTGCGCCGGGAGCTCGAGGGGCTGCGGGGGGGAGCGGCGGCGGCTGCGGCGCCTCCTGAGGCGGCGGCTCCAGGTGAGACCCCTCCCCAAAATTCCCTGTGAGACCCCCAAAAAACCCCCCAAAATCCCCCCTGACACCCCCAAAACTGCCCTGACCCCCTCAAATCTTTCCTGACCCCCCAAAAACACCCTGAAACCCCCCAAAACCTTCTTGAGCCTCCCAAAATCTCCCTGACCCCCTAAAAACTGCCCTGAACCCCCCAAATACTCTTTTGACCCCCCCCCAAATCCCTCCTGACCACCCAAAAAACCTCCCTGACCCCCCAAACCCCCCCCCAAAACTGCCCTGACCCCCCCCAAACGCTCCTGAGCCCCCCAAAACCGCCCTGAGCCCCCATTCCAGGGCAGGGGGCGGATCCTGGTGTGATGGAGGGCTCTGATTGGCTGGGCAAGGGATCCTGAGGTGGTGGAGGGCTCTGATTGGCTGGGGACTGGATCATGGGGTGATGGAGAGATCTGATTGGCTGGAGAATGGATCACAGGGTGATGGAGGGCTCTGATTGGCTAGGGAATGGATCCCAAGCTCACAGAGGGCTCTGATTGGCTGGGGAATGGATCCCGGGGTGGTGGAGAGATCTGATTGGTTGGGGAGTGGATTCCATAAGGCTCTGATTGGCTGGGGAATGGGTCACGGAGTGATGGAGAGCTCTGATTGGCTGGGGAAGGACCTCAGAGGGAGAGAAGGCTCTGATTGGCTGGGGAATGGATCCCAGGGCAACAAAGGGCTCTGATTGCCTGCGAAATTGATCCTATAGGGCTCTGATTGGCTGGGGAAGGAACCCAGGGTGACAGAAGGCTCTGATTGGTTGGGGAAGTATCCCAGAGGAAGAGAAAGGCTGTGATTGGCTGGGGAGTTGATCCTAGGCTCACAGAGAGCTCTGATTGGCTGGGAAATGATCCCAGAGGGCTCTGATTGGCTGCAGGAGCTGGAGGAGACCCAGCGGCAGATCGAGGCCGAGCTGGAGCGAGCGGCGACCGCCAAGAGTGACGGGTGGGGACCCCAAAAACCCCAAAGCCTCCCTGGAACCCCCCAAAATCTCCTGATACCCCTAAACCCAATACCCTGAAATCTCGACACCCCCAAAATCTCCCTGGAATCCCCAAAACCCCCCTGGAACCCCAAAAACCCCCCAAAACCTAACCAGGAACCCCCCAACCCCCCCCCCCCCCCGTGGAACCTCCCCAATCTCTCTGGGACCCCCTAAAAACTCCCCTAAACCCCAAAACCCCCCAAACCCCCGTGACACCCCAAAACTTGATACCCTCAAAACCCAATGAAACCCAACCCCCCCCTAGAACCCCAAACCGCCCCCTGGAACCCCCCAAGCCCCCCCCCAGCATCCCCCAAAAATTTCCCTGGAACACCCTGGAACCCCCCAGATCGCCCCTGAACCCCAACCCCCCCCCCCCCCCCCGGAACCCCCCCAGAACTCGAAAACACCCCCCAAAAAAACCCCTGGATCCCCAAACTCCCCCCAAAACCCTCTCTGGAAGCCCCTGGAACCTCCCCAAAAGCCCCCTGAAACCCCAAAACCTGACACCCCCAGACGCCCCCCCTGACACCCCAAAACCCCCACCTGGAACCCCTGAAACCTCCCCTGAAACCCCCCCCAGAACTCCAAAACCCCCCCCAAAAAACCCCCCGGGACCCCCAAAAATGCCCCCTCCAGAACTCAAAAACCCCCCTGGGACCCCCCAAAATCCCCCCCGAACACCCCCAGAACTCCCGGAGCACCCCAAAATCTCGGCTCCCCCGGACGCCGGTGTGTCCCCGTGTCCCCCCAGGGCCCCTCAGGCGTCTCGGGGGTCCCTGGGGGGGTCCCGGGGGGCTCCGGACGAGGCCGAGCGGGAGCGGGGGGCGGCTCCGGGAGCGGCAGCGGCGCCTGCGGAGCTTCCTGGGCACCAAGGGGAGAGCGAGGGACAGAGCGGGTACGGGGGGAACTGGGAATGGGAACTGGGGGGAATTGGGAATGGGAACGGGAACTGGGAGCACTGGGAACGGGGACTGGGAGCACTGGGAATGGGGACTGGGAAGCACTGGGAACGGGAACTGGGAGCACTGGGAATGGGGACTGGGAGCACTGGGATCGGGAACTGGGAGCACTGGGAACGGGAACTGGGAGCACTGGGAATGGGGACTGGGAGCACTGGGAACGGGAACTGGGAGCACTGGGATTGGGGACTGGGAGCACTGGGAATGGGGACTGGGAGCACTGGGAACGGGAACTGGGAGCACTGGGATTGGGGACTGGGAGCACTGGGATTGGGAACTGGGAGCACTGGGAATGGGGACTGGGATTGGGAACTGGGGGCGCCTGCGGAGCTTCCTGGGAGCCAAAGGGAGAGCGAGGGACAGAGCGGGTATGGGGGGAACTGGGAATGGGAACTGGGAGGGACTGGGGGGACTGGGGGGGATTGGGAACAGGGATTGGGAACTGGGAGCACTGGCAGGGACATGGAATGGGGACAGGGGGAACTGGGATTGGGGATTTGGGACTGGGAACTGGGGGAACTGGAGGCTCCTGGATCTCCTGGGGAGGATTTTATGGGGGGTCTGTGGGATATTTTGGGGAGGATTTCGGGGGTCCCTGGGATATTTTGGGGAGGATTTTGGGGGTCCCTGGGATATTTTGGGGAGGATTTTGGGGGTCCCTGGGATATTTTGGGGAGGATTTCGGGGGTCCGTGGGATATTTTGGGGAGGATTTCGGGGGTCCCTGGGATATTTTGGGGGTCCCATGGATGTCCCCCTCCCCAGCTCGGCCCCATCTGAAGCCCCGAGCCCCCCCTGGACCCCCCGAGGGGATGGGGGAGGGGCTGGAGCCCCCCAAAAATGAGGAGGAGGAGGAGGAGGAGGAGGAGGAAGAGACCTGGATGGACGGTGAGAGAGAATTTGGGGGGGTCTCGGGGGTTTTGGGGTACAAAAGGGTCTGGGGGAGGTTCCCATGGGGGATTTTGGGGTTCCCATGTTGATTTTTTTGGGGTTCTGGGAATGTTTCTATGTTGGCTTTGGAGTTCCCATTGTGGATTTTGGGGTTCCCATGTTGATTTTGGGGTTCATGGAAGGTTCCCATGCTGATTTTTGGGGCTCCCGTGCTGATTTTTGGGGTTCCCATGTTGATTTTTGGTGTTCAGGGAAAGTTCCCAAGGTGGATTTTGGGGTCCCCACACTGATTTTTAGGGTTCCCCAGCTGATTTTTGGGGTTCAGGGAAGGTTTCCATGGTGGATTTTTGGGGTTCCCCTGTTGATTTTTGGGGTTCCCATGTTGACTTGGGGGCTCAGGGGTGGTTCCCATTGTGGATTTTGGGGTTCCCATGGTGGATTTTGGGGTTCCCCCGTTGGTTTTTGGGGTTCAGGGGGTTCCCATGGTGGATATTGGGGTTCAGGGAAGGTTCCCATGCTGTTTTTTGGGGTTCCAATGGTGAATTTTGGGGTCCCCACGCTGGTTTTTGGGGTTCCCATGGGGGATTTTGGGGTTCAGGGAAGGTTCCCACGTTGATTTTGGGGTTCCCCCGTTGGTTTTTGGGGTGCAGGGGACGCCCAGAGCTTCTCTCAGTTCCTGCTGCTGACGGAGCAGCACCGGGAGCTGCAGCAGCACGTGGAGCAGGTGGGACCCAAAATCACCCCAAAACCCCCCCAAAAAATCCCTCAAAACCCCTTCAGACACCCCAAAACCCCTCCAGGGACCCCCAAAACCACCCCTAAACCCCTTCAGACACCCCAAAACCCCCCCACAGATCCCCCACAGCATCCCCAAACTCCCCCAAATCCCCTCCCAAAACCTCCCAAAATTCATCCAGACACCCCAAAAGACCCCCTCAAAACCCCTCCCGACACCCCAAAACCCCGTCCCCAGCTCCGGGCCGCCGTGGCAGCGGCCGAGACCCCCGAGGAGCCGGGGGGACCCCCGGGGGACCCCGAAATGGAGACCCGGGAGCTGCGGGAGCGCGAGAGGAGGGGGAGGGAGGAGCTGCAGCACCTGAGGGCAGGTAAAGGGTCTGGGGGGCAAATTTGGGGTCCTGAGGGAGATTTGGGGTCTGGGGGTGGAACTTGGGGGGGGGTTATTGGGGTTTATTTGGGGTCCTGAGGGGGTTTTTGGGGGGATTTAGGGAGGGTTTATTCGGGGTATGGGGGAGAAATTTGGGGTCTGAGGGGGAAATTTTGGGGTCTGGGATGGGGTAATTTGGGGTCTGGGGGGGGCAAATTTGGGGTCTGGGGGGCAAATTTGGGGTCTGAGGGTGGAATTTGGGGTCCTGAGAGGCATTTGGGGGGCTTATGGGGGGTTTATTTGGGGTCTGGGGGGCAAATTTGGGGTCTGGAGGCGTAGTTTGGGGGGGTTATGGGGTTAATTTGGGGTCCTGAGGGGGTTTTGGGGAAGTTTATTTGGGGTCTGGGGGGCAAATTTGGGGTCTGGAGGGGTAGTTTGGGGTCTGGGATGGGGTAATTGGGGGTCTGGGGGGTAATTTGGGGTCTGGGGGTGGAATTTGGGTGGGTTATGGGGGTTTGTTTGGGGTCTGGGGGTGGAATTTTGGGGCTGGGGGGGCAATTTGGGGTCCTGAGGGGCAGTTTGGGGTCCCGAGGGGTATTTGGGGGCAGTTATGGGGGGTAATTGGGAGTCTGGGGGGGGTAAATTTGGGGTCTGGGGGGGTAATTTGGGGGGGGTTTATGGGGTTAATTTGGGGTCCTGAGGGGTTTTTGGGGGGTTATGGGAGGTTTATTTGGGGTCTGGGGGAGAAATTTGGGGTCTGAGGGGGAAATTTTGGGGTCTGGGGGGGCAAATTTGGGGTCTGGGGGTGGAATTTGGGGTCTGGGATGGGGTAATTTGGGGTCTGGGGGGCAATTTTGGGGGGAGTTATGGGGTTAATTTGGGGTCCTGATGGGTTTTTGGGGGGAGTTGGGGGAAGTTTTTGGGAATTTGGGGGTCCTGAGAGGTTTTGGGGGGAATCATTTGGGGTTTTTTGGGGGGTTCTGAAGGGTTTTTTTGGGGGTCCTGATGGGTTTTTTGGGGGGGGTTACTGGGGTTTTTTGGGGTCCTGAAGGGTATTTTGGGGGGTCTTGGGGGGTCTTGGGGGTCTTGAGGGGTTTTGGGGGGTCCTATGGGGTTTTCTGGGGGGTCCTGAGAGGTTTTTGAGGGGGTTATGGGAGGTTTTTGGGGGTCCTGGGGGGTTTTGGGGGGTCCTGATGGGATTTTGGGGGTCCTGGGGGAGTTTATGGGACTTTTTGGGGGGGTCCTGAGGGGTTTTTGGGGTTTTTTTTGGGGGTCCGGGGGGTATAATTTGGGGGGGGGGGTTTATTTGGGTTCAGTGAGGACCCCCAGGTTTTGGGGTCCCCTCTGATTTCGGGGGTCCCCCCCAGGTCTGTCGGAGCTGCTGGCCCAGCTGGAGGAGGCACAGGGGGACCCCGACCCCCCCCAGGATTGGGGGGGACCCCTCCCAAAATTGGGGGGACCCCTCCCAGGATTGGGGAGACCCCCAAAATTTGGGGGACCCCCTGTGGGAGCAGCTGCGGCGCCTGGAAATCGGGGTGACCCGGCTGCTGCTGCGGGGGGGGGCACCCCAAAACCCGGTGAGGGAACTGGGGGGGACTGGGAGGGACTGGGGGGGGGGTGAAATTTGGGGGGGTTTGGGGTGATTTTGGGGTGATTTTGGGGGGCAATTTTGGGTTTGGCGGGGGGGGAGGGTTTGGGGGTTCATTGGGGAAATTTGGGGAGATTTGAGAGGTCATTGGGGAAATACTTGGGGGTTAATTTGGGAGAATTTTGGGGTTCATTGTGGGAGAATTTGGGGTTTATTGGGGATAATTTGGGGGTTTATTGGGGGAAAAATTTGGGGGTTAATTGTGGAAAAAAATGATATTTATTGGGGGAAAATTTGGGGTTTAATTGGGGAAAAAAATTGTGGTTTAATTGGGGATAAGTTTGGGATTTATTGGGGAAATTCAGGGGTTAATTGAGGGAAAATTCGGGTTTTGGGGTCCCCCCCCCCCCCCCCAGGTCCCGGCAGGGCACGAGGCCGTTTGGAGCCGCCCCCCCCCCTCCACGCCCCCCCAGCCCCAGGTGAGACCCCCAGCAATGAGGGGGGGTCCCCCTCCCCCCATGCCACAGCACCCCGGGGTGCCCCACAAATTCCCAAATTCCCAAATCCCCACAGGGAGGGGCCCGCGGTGGGGGAGGAAGAGGAGGAAGAGGAAGAGCAGGAGAGACCCCTGAGCCCCCGAGAGCTGCGGGAGAGGGTCCTGAGAGAGGTGGGGGGGCAGGGGGGGGGTCCTGGAACCCATGGAGGGGGTCCTGGGACACATGGGTGGGGGTCCTGAGATATGGGTGGGGGTCTCAGATCCATGGGAAGGGTCCTGGGATATGGGTGGGGGTCCCAGATCTATAGGAGGGGGTCCTGGTGCCATGGGTGGGGGTCCCAGGTCTGTGGGTGGGGGTCCCTGTGCCGAGGGTGGGGGTCCAGGGTCCATGGGTGGGGGTCCCAAAATCATGGGTGGGGGTTCTGGGACATGGGTGGGGGTCCCAAACCCACGGATGAAGCTCCTGGGTCTGTGGGTGAGGGTCCCAGATCTATGGGTGGGGGTCCCTGTGCCATGGGTGGGGGTCCCAGGTTTATGGATGGGGCTCCTGGGTCCATGGTGAGGGTCCCAGATTTATGGGTGGGGGTCCTGAGTTTATGGGTGGGGGTCCCAGACTCATGGGTGGGGGTTTCAGATCTATGGGTGGGGGTCTGGAGTTATGGGTGAAGGTCCCAGATTTATGGGTGGGGGTCCCAAAACCGTGGGTGGGGGTTCTGGGATATGGGTGGGGCTCCTGGGTCCCATGGGTGGGGGTCCCGGATTTATGAGTGGGGGTCCCGCTACCATTGGGGGGGGGGTCCCAGATTCATGGCGGTGGTCTCAGAGCCATGGGTGGGGGGTCCCGCTGCCATTGGGGGGGTTCCGGATTTACGGGTGGGGGTCCCATGTCCATAGGTGGGATCCCAGATTTGTGGGTGGGGGTCCCGCTGCCATTGAGGGGGTCCCGGACCCCCAGGCCCCCCCCCTAATCTCCCTCCCTCCCGCAGGTGCTGAGCCGCGAGGGACCCCTCCCCACCCCCCCCCGTCTGAATCTGGGGGGTCCCTGAGCGCCCCCCCCCCCCCACACCGGATGTCAGGGTCCCCCACCCCGTTGCCATGGCAACCCAGTAAATATTTGCGGCTGTCGCGGGCGCGTTGCCCCCGGCAACGGCCAAACTTCCCAAAACAGCGCGAAACGGCCCAAAACGGGCCCGGGAGGGAGGGGGAAGTGGGGGAGGGGTGGGGGCGCCGCCCGGTGTCCCCCGTGTCACCCACCCGAGGGCGGGGGTCGCACGTGGGTGCCCCTCCCCCACTTTGGGGATACCCCAGGGACCCCCTCAGAGCCCCCCCCCCGTTCGTGGTGATGCCCTGACGTCATTGCCCGGGACCCCCTGACGTCACAGCCCTCTGGCCACGCCCCGGTGGGCACCGCCCGGAGTGACACGGCTGGGACCGGCCCGGCGGAGGGACCCGAACCCGCCCGAGGGGAGCCGAACCGGGAGGAGCCGAACCGCTCCGGAAACACCCGAACCGTCCCGCCCGAGGGGACCCGAACCCGCCGAGGGACCCGAACTTGGAGGAGCCGAACCGCTCCGGAAACACCCGAACGGTCCCGAAACAACGGAACCGGGAGCGTCCCGCGCTAATTGACCCGAACCGGGAGGAGCCGAACCGTCCCGAAACACCCGAACCGGGACTGTCCCGCGCGAATTGACCCGAACCCACCCGAGGTGACCCGAACCCGCCTGAGGGACCCGAACTTGGACGAGCCGAACCGCTCCGGAAACACCCGAACTTAAGACTCGAAGGGGGACCCGAACCTGCCCGGGGGCCCCGAACGAAGACCCGAAGTTGTCCGGAAAGACCCGAACGTATCCGAGGGGACCCGAACCCGCCAGAGGGAAGCCGAACCCGCCTGAGGGGAGCCGGACCCGCCAGAGGGAAGCCGAACCGGGAGGGACCGAACCGCTCCAGAGAGACCCAAAACACCCGAACCGGCCCGGAGGGGACCCGAATCGGGACCGTCCCGTCCGGAAAGACCCGAACCGAACCCCCTCAAAACTCCTCCGGAACAACCCGAACCACTCGGGTGAGTGTCGGGACCCTCCCTGAGGTCTTGTGGGGAAGGGGAGGTGACACAACGGGGAGGATCCTGGGGTGCCCCTTCCCCCGAACCCTCGGGGGTCTCCTGTGCCCCTCGGGGGTCCCCCCTGTCCCTCAGGGGTCTCCCCCGGACATTTGGGACCCCCCCCCATCACCCACAGGATGCAGCCAGCGCCCGGGTGGGGCGGGGCGACCCCAGGATGAGGCGAGGGGGGGGGAAAGGAAGGAGATTCTCCAAGGCCTTATATGGGCACAGCCCTGACCGCCCCCAGCCCCTGCATGGCCGGGACCCCCCGGACCCCCGGGGTGAACCCCAACATGGCCGGGACCCCCCCAGACCCCCGGGGTGAACCCCAACATTCCTGGGATCCCCCTCAGTGCAGGGAATCCCCCCTAAGCCACAAGTGACTTCAGTCCTTCCAGCCCGCCCAAAGCTCCTCAGGGCTCTGAGATCCCCCCCACCCTCTGCAGCCCCCTCCCCACAGGGCCCTGTACCCCAAATATCCCCCAGTCCTTAATTCCATCCCAGTACCCCCCAGTCCTGCACACCCCAAATTCCCTCAATAACCCCAAATCCCCCCTGAGCCCCTCATCTCTCCACATCCTTTGGGATTCCCTCATTCCCTCTTTGCTGTGTGCAGACCCCCCCACCTCCCAGCAGCTCAACACCCTCAAGGTGTAAACCTGAGGATAAAAATTTATCCCCGACCCCATTAAAAAAAAAAAAAATTACAAAAAAATTTAAAACTCACTCCCAACCCCACTGAAAAAATACAAACAAAAAAATTACAAAAACATTACAAAAAAATTTTAACACTCACCCCCAACCCCACTGAAAAAATATCAAAAAAATTACAAAAACAAACCAACTTACCCCCAACCCTGTTAAAAATACAAACAAAAAAATTAGAAGAAAATTTTAAAACTTACCCCCAACCCCATTAAAAAAAATTACCAAAAAACCCAAAAGCCAACATTTAAACATTTACCCCCAACCCCATTTAAAAAAAAAAATTACAAATAAAAAAAAAGTTACCAAAATTTTCCAAAATTTACCCCGACCCCATTAAAAAAAACCAATACGAACAAAAAAAAAAATTACAAAAAAATTTAAGAACTTACTTCCAACCCCATTAAAAAAAAAGAAATTACCAAAAAAAAATTTTTTCAAACATTTACCCACAACCTCATTTAAAAAAATTACAAAAAAAAAAAAAGCCAAAAAAAATTTACCCCCAACCCCCCTTAACCCCCAATATCCCTGGTACCCCCCTCAGCCCCAACACCCCAAACCCCCCCATATCCCCCAACACCCCCCAAGACCCCCTGACACCCCAGTGACCCCAACATCCCTCAGGACCCCCTGATGCCCCAGTGACCCCAACACCCCCCGAGCCCCCCTGACCCCCCAGTGCCCCCCATCTCTCCACAACCCCCATATCCCCCAACACCCCAATATCCCCCAGGACCCCAACACCCCCCCTGACCCCCCAGCGCCCCCTATCTCTCCGCAGCCCCCGCCATGCCCGCTCCGTGCCGCCCCCCGTCCATCCTGCGCTGTGTCCAGGCCCTCAGCGCCCTCCTGGCCCTGGCTCTGGCCGCTGCCCCCGGCTACTGGAACCCGGGCGAGGGCGACGGCTGCTTGTCCGCCTGGGCTTTATCCTTCGTCTTCACCACCCTCCTCCTCCTCAACGACGCCTTCCGCCGCCCTCCGCCCCGCCGCGACCTGCCGCTGGCCCTGGCCTGCGCGGCCGCCATGGCTTGTGCCACCGCCACCATCTTGTGGCCGCTGGGACACCTCCGGGGACACGAGGGCAGCTACGGCCGCCCCCGCGCCCTCCGCGCCGCCGCCACGGCCGCCTCGGCCGTCGCCACGCTGGCCTACGCCGCCGAGGTGGCCCGAGACCGAGCGCGACCCGGAGAGGCCGCCCCTTACCTGGCCACTCCCTCGGGGCTGCTCAAGGTGGCCGAAGCCTTCCTCGCCCTCCTCCTCCTCGGGCTGTCGGCCGAGCTGGGCGCGGCGTCGGGGCCGGCGGCTTTGCGTTGGTGTCTGGGCATTTTCTGCGTGTCCTTCGTGCTGGGGGTGCTGCTGGTCGGGGGGTGCCTGCTGGGCTGGGGGTGGTGCGGGTGGATGAGGGACCCCGAGGGGATGCGCTGGGGCTTGGGGATCTATGCGGGGCTGGGGGTGGTGGCCTACGGGGCGACCACGGTGCTGTGGTCGCTCTACAGCTTCTCGGATGACATGGGGGGTCAATCACGGAGACCCTACGGCTGCCCGGCCACGTGCGCCTGGGACAGGAGGGTGCTGGTGGCCGTGCTCAGCGGCCTCAATTTGGTGGCGTTCGGCGTGGATTTGGGGCAGACGGGGAGGTTGGTGCTGTTGAGAGCCTGAGGGGGCACTCCAGGGTGAGTTGGGGGGGGGAGGCAAAACCTTAAAGGGGGTCTGGGGTCTCCCACAGGTTGGGATCAGGGCCTTTGTGGGGGTCTGGGTTGATTCCTGGGGTGGGATCAGGCTCCCAGAAGGGTCTTGGATCCTCTATGGGGCAGGATTGGGATCCCAAGAGGGGTCTGGGGTCTCCTTCTGGAATGTATTTGGATCCTAGTGGGGGTCTGGGTGTCCCCCTGAGGGGGTATGGGACCCTAACTGGGGTCTGGTGTCCCCTCATGGGGTGGGATCAGGCTCCTAATGGGAATCCTGGACCCTCTATAGGGCAGGATTGAACCCCTAATGTGGGTCTGGGGGTCACCCCAGGGTGGGATCCAGCCCCTAATGGGGTTTGGGGTCACCCCAGGGTGGGATCAGGCTCCTAATGGGAATCCTGGACCCTCTATAGGGCACGATTGAACGCTTAATGGGGTTTGGGGTCACCCCAGGGTGGGATGGGGGTGCTATGGAGGTCTGGGGTCTCCCCTTGGGGTGAGATCAAGCCCCTACTGGGAATCCTGGATCCTTTTTGGGGCAGAATATGGCCCTTTTCAGAGTCAGAGTCTCCTCTGGGGAGATAATGGAACCCTAATGGAGATCCTGGTTCCTCCTGTGGGTGGGATTCAGCCCTTGATGGTGATCTGGGGTCCCACCAGGGTGGGATTGGGTGCCTTAATGGGGTCTGGGGTCTCTCCTGGGGTGGGATTCAGCCCTTAATGGGGGTCTGGGGTCCCACTAGGGTGGGATCGGGTGCCTGAATGGGGTCTGGACCCTCTATAGGGCAGGATTGAGTCCCTAATGGGGGTCTGGGGTCTCTCCTGGGGTGCGATTCAGCCCTTAATGGGGGTCTGGGGTCCCACCAGGGTGGGATCGGGTGGCTCAATGGGTTCTGGACCCTCTATAGGGCAGGATTGAGTCCCTAATGGGGGTCTGGGGTCCCTCCTGGGGTGGGGTGGGGTGCCTGAATGGGGTCTGGACCCTCTATAGGGCAGGATTGAGCCCCTAATGGGGGTGTGGGGTCTCTCCTGGGGTGGGATTCAGCCCTTAATGGGGGTCTGGGGTCCCACCAGGGTGGGATCGGGTGGCTCAATGGGTTCTGGATCCTCTCTGGGGCAGGATCTGGTGCTTGGGGGGGGGCGTCTGGGATCAAGTGCCTGAGGGATCCTTCCTGGAGGGATGGTGGGATCACAAGGGGGTCTTGGGGAGGGGGACACCGCTGAGGCCTTACCTGGGGGGTGCGGATGTGTTGTCATTAAAGGGACATTTCTGCTTCTTAATGAGCTGCTGAGTGTCTGTGGTGGGGGGGGCGCAAAAGGGAGGGAAAAGTGTGGGAAATGTGAGGGGGAAAATGGTGGGGAACATGAGGGGGGAAAGGGTGAGAAATGTGAGGGGGGAAAAGGGGAGGGATGGGGAAAAGAGGAGAAAATGGAAAAAATGTGAGGAGGAAAGTGTGGGAAGTCTGAGGGGAAAAGGGTGGGAAATGAAAAAAGGCAGAAAGTGTGAGAGGAAAAAGGGCAGAAAATGTGAGGGGAGAAAAGGGCGGGAAACGTGAGGGGAGAAAAGAGCGGGAAACGTGAGGGGAGGAAAGGCAGCAAATGGAAGGCAAAAAGGTCAGTAAAGCCGAGTGAAAAGGACGGAAAATGAGAGGAAGAAAAGGTACGAAACAAGGGGAGAAAAGGCTGGTAAAAATGAGGGGAGAATGGGTGGGAAATGTAAGAGGGGAAACATGAGGGGAGAAAAGGGTAGGAAACGTGAGGGGAATAAGAGCAGGAAATGTGAGGGGGAAAAGGGTGGGAAATGTGAGGAGAATAAAGGGAAAAGTGAGGGAGAAATGGGGGGAAATGTGAGGGGAGAAAAAGGGCGGGAAACGTGAGGGGGAAAGGCAAGAATTATGAGAAGAAAAAGGGCAGCAAATGTGAGGGGGAAAATGAGAAATGTGAGGGGGGGAAAAGGGGGGGAAACATGAGGGGACAAAGGGCAGGAAATGTGAGGGGAAAACGGGGGGGAAATGTGAGGGGGGAAAAAGAGAGGGAAACCTGAGGGGCAAAGGGAGGAAAACACGAGGGAAAAAGGCAAGAAATGTAAGGGGGAAAGGCAGGAATAGTGAGAGGAAAAAGGGCAGAAAATGTGAGGAGGAAAGTGAGAAATGTGAGGGGGGAAAGGGCGGGAAATGTGAGGGGAGAAAAGGGCGGGAAAGGTGAGGGGAGACAAAGGGAGGGAAACATGAGGGAGAAAATGGAGGAAAATGTGAAGTGGGAAAGGGACACATGAGGGGAAAAGGGGGGGAAACGTGAGGGGGAAAAAGGAGGGAAACATGAAATCTTCTCCTCCCCAATTCCCTCCCCTGTCCCCGCTGCAATCCCACACTCCCCATTCCCAGATGCCCCCCAGTTCCAAGTCACCCCCGTTCTCAAACATCCCCCAAATCCCAGCCCCTCCCCCCCAATCTTTTCTTCCCCCACCAGACCCCATATTCCCCCCAGATCCCAGATGTCCCCCGATCCCAAATCCCAGATTTTTTACTCAGTGGACCAAGTGCAAGAACTTCTAATTTTATTGAGCAAAGCAAAAATGGAATGAAGAAGGTCTGGGGGGGGACCCAAAGTGGAAGTTGTTGGGACACCCCAACTTTGGGATGTCCATGAGGCTCCAGGGGTGTCCAGAAGATCCTGGTGGTTCCCTCGAGGTTCTCCTGGTGCCCACGAGGTTCTGCTGAAGGTTCCTCAGGTCTGTGAGGGCTTCTAGAGGTTCCTACCAAGTTCTAGGGGTGCCTACGGGGTTCTAGAGGTATCTATGGGGTTATAAAGGTGCCTACGGGGTTCAGGAGGTGCCTATGGGGTTCTAGAGGTGCCTATGGGGTTCAGGAGGTGCCTATGGTGTTCTAGAGGTGCCTATAAGGTTCTAGAGGCGCCTATAGGGTTGTGGAGGTGCCTACGGAGTTATGGAGGTGCCTATAAGGTTCTAGAGGTGCCTACAAGGTTCTAGAGGTGCCTATGCGGTTCTGGAGGTGCCTGTGGGGTTATGGAGGTGCCTATATGGTTCTAGAGGTGCCTACAAGGTTCTAGAGATGCCTATAGGGTTATGCAGGTGCCTGTGGAGTTCTAGAGGTGCCTATAAGGTTCTAGAGGTGCCTATGGGGTTCTAGAGATGCCTATGGGGTTATGGAGGTGCCTTTGGAGTTCTAGAGGTGCCTACAAGGTTCTAGAGGTGCCCACAAGTTTCTAGAGGTGCCTGTGTGGTTCTGGGGGTGCCTATGGGGTTCTAGAGTACCCCACAGGGTACTCTTTCCAGTGCTATCAATTCATCTCCTGTTCCTCCAGCTGCACCTTGAGGATGTATTCTTGGTGGTGGGACAGGGTGGCCGTCAGCTTGTAGGCGCCAGCGAACAGCCAGGTGGACACCCTGCCTTCGCCATGAAGCTGACAGCGGGTCACGGCAGTTGTTTTGGTGTCGGGAGGATCCAGCATCTTGCTCATGCGGGTAAAGGTGTCACCCAAATCGTCCCCCTCTCCCAGGTGAACCTTGTCGTGGGACAGCTCCAGCTGCAGCCTTTTGGAGCCATTCCAGTAGACGTGGACAAAGATGGCCAAGGTGAAGGAGTTGGCCTCGTAGACCACGAGCTGCTCGGTTTCCGGGTGCCTGGGCTCGTGGGGAATCTCGCAGAGATCACGGTGACCAGCGAGCAGCTCCGATAGGAGCTCGTGGGGGCTGTGGGATTCCGTGTCATACCTGGGGGGGAAAGGAGGGGTGGGGTCAGCGTGGGGCGGGGTGGGGTCACCAGGAGGTGCTGGGAGCGCTGGGAGGTGATCCCAACTCATGGAGATGATCCCAACCCCTGGAGATGATCCCAAGCCCTGGAGATGATCCCAACCATGGAGATGATCCCAACTCCTGGAGATGATCCCAAGCCCTGGAGATGATCCCAAGCCCTGGAGATGATCCCAAGCCCTGGAGATGATTCCACCCCCTGGAGATGATCCCAGTCCACCATGAAGATCCCACCCAGAGCTGCCCATCCCCTCACCCCGAGGGTCCCTCTGGTGTCCCCCAAACCTCACTTGTGGTACTTCAGGGTGGTGTTCTGGGTGTTGTTGCGGATCCAGAACTCCAGAGGTTTCGGGTTCTGCTCTCTTGCCATCCTCTCAGCTCTGGGATTTCTTCCTAAGGCGAGAAACGGCTCCTTCCTTAAAAAAGAAAAAACAACAAAAAAACAAAAGCAAAAAGTTTATTCGACCTTAACAAAAGTATAAGAAAAGGACTAAATGAGGACAAATCAACAAAAAAGTGTCTGTGCCCACCTTTAGCCAACAGCAAACGGCAAGAAACGAACTGCACATCAATAAAATAAACTTTTCTTCATATTCCCACAGCAGTCATCCCTTTAAGTGCGAAACCAATTAATCATCTCGTTACGTATCTTTAACCGAATGACTCAAATTTTTGGAGGTGGGGCGACCACAAATTTTGGGGTTTTTTAGAAAAGGGGAAGAGGAGGCACCGAGGACAATTTGGGGGGGGGGGGGAGGTTTGTGCTCCTCCCCCCAAATTTTGGGGCAAAGGGGTCCCCAAATATTGATTGGGGACCCCAATTATGGGAGGGGGCGTGTGGGTGTGGGAATCCTTAAAAATCCGAGGGTTTTGGGAAAGCGGCAAAAAGCAGGAAAGGGAAAAGAGCAGAACTGCGATTGGAGTTAAGCAGAAGCCTTAAGGTTGGTGAGAAGTAGAAAAAGAAAGCAATAAAACAATGAATAAAACAGTGATAGAGAAATAAAAGAATAAATAAAAGAATAAAAAAAAGATAAAAAAGGATAAAAAACATAAAAGAATAAGAAATAAAAGAATAAAAAAAAGAATAAAAAATAAAAAGAATAAAAAATAAAAGAATAAAAAATAAAAAGAATAAAAAATAAAATAATTTTTAAAAAAAGAATAAAAAAAACCCCACAATGCTCTGTGTATTAATGCTTAGCTAGAATAACTCTCAGTGCCACAGAAAATTATGTCTAGCGTTACATAAAGAAGTTGACAAATCGGAAAATTTACAATTTAGTCTCCCAAAAAAGTTAAAGAAATGCCTGTCTGCAGAGCTTTAATGAAGAGCTTTAAACAGAATTATCATAAAAAACCAAACTTTCTCGAATGCCAAATACCTGGTCCTGAGACTTTAATTCCGAGCGGCTTCGTCCTCTTCTGAGGGGATCTCGGGTTTTATTTGGGGTGCCCCAGGCAGTGTGGGCAGCAACTTCCCCTTTTCCCCAAGTTTCCTCAGGCATTGAAAACAACGCCCCGATTCTCAGAAGTGACTCAAGGCTTTCGAGTTTCTCCCTCTTTTTCTCCCCTTGGTTCCCGATGCTGGGAACAATCCTCCCGCCCCTGTGCGGAGTCAGTTCCGGGAAATTCCCGGCGTGAAAAACGCCGATCGCTTGGGTTTTTTATGTTAAATTTTAAAAGTTTAATAAAATGGTTGTAAGCATACTAATATGATTAGAGTGATAATAATTTGGACAGCTTGAATTAGGACAATATGAGACAATAAAGACAAAGTGTTACAGAGGTTCGGGTACCTTTTTCTGGGCAGCACAAGCCTGAAAAAGGACACAGTTAACAAAGGATTAACCCTTTAAAACAACAGCCTGCTGCATATTCATACACCTCATACACGATGCATGAATTCCATTCAAACATGGGATTCTGTCTGGTCACCATCAACTTCTTCCTTCTAATCCTAACAGTGCCTCCAAGGCGGGAAGAAGTTCATTTCTTCTGATAATGAAGCAATAAATTCTTTTTCTCTGAAAGATTCAGGTGTCCTGCGGCTGCTGTCTCATTGCGAGTCCTTTCTTTAAAAAGTTTATCCTGCATAGCATTGTTTCTATTTTAACATTTTTTTTATAACCTAGAACTATATTTAACACACTACTTAAGAGAATTAATACAGCATTACTTTCTAACACAACAGATAAAATATTCGTTTTAATATTTGCCAAGGCCAATCACAAAATACGCATTTTTCACATCTGTCAAGCCTTTTTCTTCAGATTCCTTCCAATTTTGGGGACCCCCTCACCCCAAATCTCGAGCCAACACTCGGTCAGGACCTCCCGCAGATTTTGCTGAATATATTTTCTCAAATATAGTTTTAGGTTATAACATAACGTTAAAATAGGAAATATGTATGT